AGACCCTACGCATGCTGTGAGTGCGGGAAAACCTTCACGCGAGGCTCCCACCTTATCAGACATCAGAGAACCCACACCGGCACCAGGCCCTATGAAATCTGTGAGTATAGAAAACACTTTTCTGGCAGAGAAGCCCTTATTAATCATTGGAGACTCCACCAAGGGTAGAGACCCTATGAATGCGAGCGTGGGAAAACATTCATTTACTGCTCAGACCTTAGGAGATATTAGATGGTCCACATAGGATAGATAGGCTATAGACAATCTGAGTATGGGAAAAGCGTCCATCAGAGCTCACACCTTATTTATCAGCCGCGAAGGCACAAGGGAGATAGCATAAAAACCTTCTCTAGGGCTCACAACAAATAAGGAGTTTTTTCTTTAATACTTTTCGTAATGTGGCCTTTAAGGCTGCTACTGTGACAGATTTCTGTTACCAATCTGCCTGAGGCGTCAGGTGATCAGGCTGAGGCCGCCGGATCGTCAGGGGAGGGGATGAAGGAGCACAGCAAATGTTTAAGTTTTAAAGCTTTATTAATAAAATAACAGCGGTAAGTGCTGGGTGCGCCGCATGTCACTCAGAGGAAGGAAGAAAGCGTTAGTGCCCGAGTCGTAACCCGCTTTCATACTCACACACGCTGTAACAAACTGGGACTGTTCTTAATATGGTCTTTGAATGCTGAGTGGGGAGTGTTGGCCTGGGAAGGCAGGGGAGTGTGGCTAGGACGGTCTACATTGGGGGATGGGAGACTGGCCTTGAGGAAGGATGCCTGAGCATGTAACGTGAGAACCCAGGAGGGGGCTGGGGCCAGGTGACACCTTTGCCCGGGAAACTGGACAAAGGCTGGAGAGAGTGAGAGTTTCAGGAGTTGGCTGGTGTAATGGAGGGGAGCCCAGACGGGGCTCTGACCCCCCAATGGGCCTGTGGTGCCCCTGGGACCCCAAGATGGACCTAATTGGGGGGGGTCCTGTTGTCTGTGCCTGCAAGACCTGTCTTGGACTGTGTTCCTGTTGTCTAAATAAACCTTCTGCTTTACTGGCTGGCTGAGAGTCATGGTGAATCGCAGGAAGCCGGGGGTGCAGGGCCTTGTGTCCCCCCACACTCCGTGACACACGCACAACCCAAGGCTGGCCAACCCTGGATATAATGTAAGAAGAAGAGAGGGAAGGGTAGACGAGAGTTTTGTTCTGTGCACAGGCTGTCTAGGTCCACTGTCGATTTCCGATTTGCTTCAGCTCTCAGGAGGGTTTTAAGTCCTGGGGTCTTTTGGGGGCGTTTTGTTTAGGGACCTTTGTTTTTTGTGCTTTTTGTACCAATTTAAACCGGCTTTTTGTGGCTTCCTGAGCTTTCCCAAAATACACTGGCTTTAGGGATGCAGATTTGTTGTTTTCCCCCTCACTGGCCTTCACTGTCTCACTAGTTTTTTTGCCGTTTTGTTTAGCTTCTCATTTCTCACGGCTGGCTGGGGCTGGGTCAGATACAAAGACGGCTGCAGGCTTTTTGGCTGCATAAAGTCTGTTCAAGCGCAGTGACCTTGAACTTGTTTTAGCGTTTTATTTTTAAACTGAGCTAAGGCGTTAAGTTAAGCCTTTCTGTTCTCCCTTCCTCCCTCTACGGCCTCTCGCACCCTGCAAAAAAACCTTTCGCTCCACACTCACACCTTTAACCCTTCCCAAAATGCCTTGCAATGCCTGCAACAGCGTTAGCAACATACAATGCTGATCTGCCTCCCCAAGGAACTCCCTAAGGGAGGGGGCCATTGGGTTGTAACACTAGTGCCATTTACTTCATTGTGGTCTCGGCTCCCCCAGGTGAGTGGTCTGGTTTTGCTTTTTGCAGCTTCCCCTTCTTTGGGGTGAATCCCCAAAGATCCTTTCTACCAACTGCTTTGTTCCATGAGTCATGGGAGTATGAGTCCCTCTTACGAGGAATGCATGTCAGCCCCAGGTGGGGGAAACAGAAATGACGTCAGTTAGCGTCACGGTGGTAAAATCTACCTGGGTCTTGTCTCCATTAGCATGTGTTTGTAGTTCGCTAGCTCCAGTGAGCTCTCCAGATGTAAAATCACAACTATGTTTTCTATACTGACATGGCCCCTGGGTTAGAATCATAGAAGATGAGGGTTGGAAGAGACCTCAGGAGGTATCTAGTCCCACCCCCTGCTCAAAGCAGGACCAATCCCCAACTAAATCATCCCAGCCAGGGCTCTGTCAAGCCTGACCTTAAAAACCTCTAAGGAAGGAGATTCCACCACCTCCCTAGGGAACCCATTCCAGTGCTTCACCATCCTCCTAGTGAAAAAGTGTTTCCTAATATCCAACCTAAACCTCCCCCACTGCAACTTGAGACCATTGCTCCTTGTTCTGTCATCTGCCACCACTGAGAACAGCAGAGCTCCATCCTCTTTGGGTTAGCTCATATATTTTCTCTTGACCTGTCCTAATCTACTCCACATTCCCTATGTGACCGGGGTCCCAGGGGAGCCTCACGGAGGTCACTCAATTAGGGTGAACTGTGAAGAATGGGACAGACAATCCCCAAATCTGGTGCATATTCCAACACTTAGATTTACCAAACTAGCACAAAACAGCGTCTGGTTACCCGGAAGCCAACAACACAGTTCCCTTAAAGCAACCCAGCCGTACGCCTCCACCTAGACACCCAAGTCAAATATGATGAGGATCACTGAAAATCGTATTCATCATATCAGAAAGTTCTACCAATTCCAAAGGATCAGACACATTACCTCCTAGGTTAATGAATATTCCAGATCTTACCCAAATACACGCTGACAGCCAATTCTTATTAACTAAACTAAAATTTCTTAAAAAAGAAAAGAGAGCGAGTATTGGTTAAAAGATCAGGATACACACAGACACGAGTACAGTTCTGAGATCCGATTCATAGTAGCGATGGAGAGCTTTGGAGTTGCAAAGAGTTCTTTCACACTCCTGAGTGAACAATAGGCTTTTGATGTAACCTTCTGTTTCCCACACGTCACCGGTAATTAACTACATGGATTTACATAAGGTAATTTATCCATTGAGCAGTTTATCACAAACTTTAAACAGACATATAGACAATGACATTATTTCACCCAAGATTCATCTAAATGTTAATATTCCCTTTTGACCTCTGAATCAATCGCTATAGTAAGACAGGAACTGTCTGTTTACATGGCTAACATCTTAGTTAAGTAGAAAACACATAGAATTAGCATCATCTCTCATTCTCTAACAATACAGGTTTGCATTTCAAAGTATAGCCTATCTAGCATGGAATGGCCCCAATTACCAGTTACATACCTTTCTAACGTGTCTGTAAAGGTTGAATCTGGGTCAATTAGCCTGCGAGCTGCTTAACCCTTTCTGGCCCCGAGTCACAGTGGTCTAGATGAAATTAATATAAGTGGTTGAAAGACCGTACTCAATCTTAAATATGGAGCAAGGGCAAGTTAGGTTAGATATTAAGAAAAAAATTGTGACCACAAGGGTAGTTAAGCTCTGGAATAGGATTCCAAGGGAGGTTGTGGAATCCCCACCATTGGAAACTTTTAAGAACAGTTTAGACAAATAACTCTCAGGGATGGTCTTGGATTACTTGTTCCTTCCCTCAGTGCATGGGCTGGAATAAATGACCTCTCCGAGTCCCTTCCAGCCCCACATTACTGTGATTCATTCTATAACCTTCCCCAGGCACTGGAGGATTTTCACGCTCCTTTCCATTACACCTGACTCGCTCTATTCCCTAACTTCTCAAAATTAGCTTTCCTGATCCCTAACACCCATGACATGCTGCCCTCTTCTTCCTATTCCTTACAATGCTGAGCCCCGCAAGCGCATGCTCCCCAGCCCCAGTTCCCCTATGACTGTCTCGTTCCCTTCAGGGGGTCTTTGTCAGTAAAAATCAGTCCCAAGGTGACTTCCCCTGGACTTTCTGTGATATGGAGTTACTCTCTCTGGGTCTTCAAAGGAGCCCCTTTGAACAGGAGTGTCTGGTTGCGTGTGCGCCAGCAGAAAGATGGAGAATTAATCCCTTTATAAGCAGAGTGTCTGGCACCTTTGAACACCTGGACAGTTAGCTCCAGAATGCCAGGGCTTTAAAATGAGCAGAGGTTTAAAAAAAGCCATGATCTTTGTGACAAATATCCCGTGAATTCACCTGATCTCACTTGTTTTCTGTCATCCGAGCAGGGTTTCCACTTTCCAAACCTGAGGTGATGTCCCAGCTGGAACCAGGGGAAGAGCCGTGGGTCTCAGATCTCCAGGGCTCGGAGGCAAGAGAGATCCTGATAGGAACCTGCCCAGGTGAGAAATCATTAGACCAACTCAAATACTGTCTGTGCCTGAAGGACACAGCTGGGATTCCCTACCAAGACCTTGAGAGCTCTTTGAGTTCAGGATTGTCCCCTAGCAGATCTCATATCCTCAGAGCAGATATCGCTCATGGCTTCCTACCCATCCTGATCAACATGTTGCAATAGCTCCCTTCCTAATCTCCCTTCATCCTGAGCATTGGGATGGGATGTGGAGACAGAGTTGATCCCCTCCTCTCTCCCCTATGGGGAAGGGTTTGGGGGAATTCATTTCCCGATCTTTTCCCCCATCTCTCTAGCATTTCCTTTGGTTTCCTTTCCCCGTTTTCCATCCTTGCTTCTGAGGTTTCTCTCTCTGTCTCAGGAGATGAAGGGACGGTGAATGAGAAGAAGGAGCAGAACCCAGAGCAGGAAGATGCTGAGCATGTGGAAATGAATGGGGGATTATCACAAAGCACTGAAGGGGACGTGTCCAGGAGTTGTGAAGACGGGCAGCAGGGAAACCAACCAGGGGAGGAAATAGGTCAATCCATCAGTTGTGAGGAAAATTACCAGGAAACCACGGCCCAGAAGCGAATTCTCATGGGAGAGAGAGAAAACATGTGCCCCGACTGTGGGAAAACCTTCCCTTGGCGCTCCCACATTATTGAACATCAGAGAATTCACACGGGAGAGAGACCCTACGCATGCTGCGAGTGCGGGAAAACCTTCATTCGACACTCACATCTTCTTAGACATCGGAGAAGCCACACAGGAGAGAGACCCTATGGATGCTGCGAGTGCGGGAAAACCTTCACTCGACGCTCACACCTTATTGAACATCAGATAACCCACGGAAGCTCAAGCCCCTATGAATGCTGTGAGTGCGGGAAAACCTTCACTCGACGCTCACACCTTATTAGACATCAGAGAACCCATGCTTGCCAGGAGCCCTAGGAATGCTGTGACGATAGAAAAAACTTTTCTGTTTGATCAGCCCTTATTAATCGTCAGAGAATCCAGAAAGGAGAGAGACGACCCTGTGAATGTTAAGTATCAGAGGGGTAGCCGTGTTCGTCTGGATCTGTAAAAAGCGACAAATAGTCCTGTGGCACCGTATAGACTAACAGGCATATTGGAGCATAAGCTTTCGTGGGGGAATACCCACTTCGCTAGACGCATGTGGTGGAAATTTCCAGAGGCAGGTATAAATATGCAGGCAAGAATCAGTCTAGAGATAACGAGGTTAGTTCAATCAGGGAGGATGAGGCCCTCTTCTAGCAGTTGAGATGTGAACACCAAGGGAGGAGAAACTGCTTTTGTAGTTGGCTAGCCATTCACCGTCTTTGTTTAATCCTGAGCTGATGGTGTCAAATTTGCAAATGAATTGAAGCTCAGCAGTTTCTCTTTGGAGGCTGGTCTTGAAGTTTTTTTGCTGCAAGATGGCTACCTTTACATCTGCTATTGTGTGTCCAGGGAGGTTGAAGTGTTCTCCTACAGGTTTTTGTATATTGCCATTCCTAATATCTGACTTGTGTCCATTTATCTTTTTACGTAGGGATTGTCCAGTTTGGCCGATGTACAAATCAGAGGGGCATTGCTGGCACATGATGGCATATATTACATTGGTGGATGTGCATGTGAATGAACCGGTGATGTTGTGGCTGATCTGGTTAGGTCCTGTGATGGTGTCGCTGGTGTAGATATGTGGGCAGAGTTGGCATCAAGGTTTGTTGCATGGATTGGTTCCAGAGTTAGAGTTACTATGGTGTGGTGTGTGGTTGCTGGTGAGAATATGCTTAAGGTTGGCGGGTTGTCTATGGGCGAGTAATGTTGTGAGTGCGGGAAATCCAGACCGGAGAAAGACCTTAAGAGATCAAAGATGGTCCATGCAGGATAGACGCCCTATAGATGCTCTGAGAGTGGGAAAAGCTTCTGTCAGAGGTCACACCTTATTTCTCATCAGAGAAGCCACAAAGGATATAAACACCATAAATACCTTGTCCAAGGCTAACAATAAAAGTTTTTTTTTCTGTAATATTTTTGCTAATTCCCACATGTGGCCTTTAATGCTGTTCGCGCCATTTACTTCATTGTGTTCCCAGGTACAATGGTCCAATTTTGTTTTTTGCAGCTTGCCCTTCTTTGGGGTAAATCTCCAAAGACCCTTTCTATCAACTGCTTTGTTCTGTGAGTCAGAGGCGTATGAGTCCCTCTTACTAGGAATGCGCATCATCCCCAGGTTGGTGAAATACAGACAACGTCAGTTAGTCAGATTGTGGTCAAATCTACCTTGGCCTTGTCTCCATTGGCATGTTTTTGTAGTTCGCTAGCTCCAGTGAGCTCTCCAGATATAAAATCACAGCTGTGTTCTCTATACCGACATAGCCCGAATATACTAGTCTGGGTTAGCTCATATATTTTCCCTTGACCTGTTCCAATCTAGTCCACATTTCCTAGTCTAGACAAACCATTATCATGAAGCTAAAACTTTTGCAAATAAGGCAACTGAATAACGAGACAGCGCTGAGAGAAGCAGGTTTCAGTGGATCCGAGGACAATGCAATGGGAAAATCGGTGGTCCTGATTCTGAGTCATCAGATGTAACCTGCTCTAGAATCTCATTCTATCTGCAACAGAAAATGTCTTATACAGAAGCTCCCCAACTTACGCAAACGTTCTATGCCGGAACGCCTTGCATAAGTCAAATTTTGCGTAAGTCGGGAACGTATCTCTGACAATTACGCAAAAAAAAAAAAAGCTTACAGAACTTTTTCCGTAAGTCCAGTTTTCCGTAAGTCGGGTTTGCGTAACCTGGGGAGCGTCTGTACCTCTCTGAGAGGTAGATTTTTCTCTCTTTCCTGAAGGCTGCTTGGTCACACAACTGGATATTAGTTTTCTTTGGCAGAATGTAGTTCAGACGTATTGGGGACTTTGAGACAAATGCCCATTTGCTTCAATGGTCATTTCTTCCTTTATTTATGGTGTCCCCTCACCCCTCCGTGATGGGAAATGTTCAAATGCAGCTCAGTCAACCAGAGAGAATAGTCTCCATTACGGGATATGCTATCGAGGAAACAGTCGCAGTTTTACATCTCCTCCCGTTTGAAATGGTTGAACCACGGCACTCCTCAAACGGTGCAAGTAACTTACATCACCGGGTATAATCACAGTTTTGTTCAATTATTTAAATCAGAAATTATTTCACATCATCTGGGGAAAGGGTTCCCCAGTAAATTACTTGGAACTAGGCAAAATGCGCGTGCATTGGTTTCTCTAATACAAGAACAAGGGGCCACCAAATGAAATGAATAGATAGCTGGTTTAAAACAAACACAAGAAAGTATTTTTTCACGCAACTCGCTGTCAACCTGTGGAACTCCTTGCCAGAGGGTGTTGTGAAGGCCAATACTATAACGGGGTTCAAAAGGGAGCTAGATAGATTCGTGGCGGATAGGTCCATCAATGGCTATTACTCAGGATGGGCAGGGATGGTGTCCCTAGCCTCTGTTTTTCAGAAGCTGGGAATGGGCGACAGGGGATGGATCACTTGATGATAACCTGTCTGTTCATTCCCTCTGAGGCACCTGCCATTGGCCACTGTCGGAAGACAGGATACTGGGCTTGATGGATCTTTGGCCTGACCCAGTCTGGCCGTTCTTATGTTCTCAAAACAGTTGTGACCCAGGCCTTAGAGGTGGTTATTCCTGAAGATATCTCCTAGCTAATCCTAACAGAGAGAAGTAGTGTCTCTAGCAATGCAGCTGTGGAGGAAATAGTGGTTTTTATTGTTGTTTTTGAACTCACCCTTTGTAATGCTTCAGATGTGTATTAAATAAAATTGATGTTTAATGTCAGACAGCTGCAGCAAGTTTACTCTTTTTGAATAACCCCCCCACGTCTTGTACCATATAGTGATTCTCATCCAGACATATATTTAGTTTCCAGTTTAGACCTGTTCCATCAGATTAAAAAAATAAACTGGGCATGTTTGGAGAAGCCATTCCTCACCGGCACTTTTGAGATTTTTGGATGGTTTGGTAAAGGATTCTTCTCCAGAGAAATGTCAATTTGCCCCCATCCAGACCAAGGATTTGGCAAGAACATAGGTAGAAACAGCAGGCACCCAGTAGTTGGTTTTCACTGCAGAGATGAAAGCTGTGGTGAGCTACGGTCCAAGTAAAATTGTGCTTAGAACACAACTCGCTAGTTCAGTGGCATTGATTAGAGTCCCAAAGATGCCACGGTTAGATTGAAATGGTCCTTCACTGTTTGAATCTAAAGTTTCACGAGGCAAAGTGAAGCATGAATTCTTTTTCTCAGGACATTCCTTCCTCATACGTGAATAACGTAGCTGAAGTCGAAGTATCTTAGTTCGAACTACAAGGTACTTACAGCGGGTCCACATGAGGCAGGCAGACTCCCCCGTCGACTCCGCATACTCCTCTCGCGGAGCAGGAGTACCGGTGTCGACGGCAAGCACTTTCGGGATCAATTTATCGCGTCTAGACAAGACGCGATAAATCGATCCCAGAAGATCGATTGCTTACCGCCGAAACCGGAGATAAGTATAGACGTACCCTTAGTTTTGGTCTTGCGTTTTATGTCTTTGCATCACTTCTCCATTTCCGGCTACTTGGAAAGATTAAAAGTGTGAAAATAGAATAGAATTGTTTTTTCTCATGTTGCAAGCCTTCCCGCATAGTGTGAGACCCCTTCCACACACACTTATGGCAGAAAAGCCACAGATAAATTAACTTCCAGAAATGGAAGGCACCTATATGGGTGTAAACCACAAGCTTACAGAAGGGTTCACTTGGTGGATATGGGTATTAAATGGAATTAAAGGAAAGTAACATATATTATAAGGTTGTGTAATCTTTGATTATGTTATTGTTACCAGTGACAATGAAATTAAACATGAAGTTCATTATTTATGAATGAACAAGAGGCTAATTATGTGATAACTTTCATCTTTCCAATATATTTCTGATTATATTTCTCTTTTCATTAGTAATACAGTAGCTAATTCTTAAAAGCTTATTTGAGATATTTTACCTCTTATTACTAAGGAATTCTGAAATAAAACCGTACTCCAAAGGTTGCGGTGATGGAATATGGGAGAGTAATCATGTGTATGAGAATACAGATCAGTATAGACTTTAATTATTTCCATTTCAGATTTATTCTGACAAGCTTTAAAGTCAACTTCTGTTCAGAGGACAACTCCTCAAGGAGAGAGTTGTGTAACCTTTTACCCAGTTAGAGTGTTTGGGGTACCTAGTTCCCGTAGTGCTTGTTAGCAAAGGAAAGACATGACTTCTATGATGAGATGTCCATATATATTTATAAGAAAGGTGATGGACACATGAGGCCATTACTAGTTTTTTTGTTTTGTTCTTTTTGTTAAAAGCTGCTGTGACCAGTTATTTTTATCGGTACTCAACCTTGTTTCCTTTTGAAAAGGCCAGATATTAAAGCATAGCTACTGAACCGTTAGGCCAGGCTGTGGAGACGTCCTCAAACCTGGCCTTGCTTTTCTTTCCTTTGTATCTTTGGGGTTCACGCATCCTCACTGAATGTGGTTCTCAAGAACACCTAACTGAAAAACTACTGGATTAGGGAAGAATTTTCCAAAATGATGTTAGCCCAAAGTTTGCCTCATTCCAACTTTATTGGGGCGTGTCGTCGGTATCCCAGGCATACTTCACCCTGATTTGCCCAGAGATCTCAGGAGATGGAGTAAGCTGGAATTGTCAACCATAAGGACCAAGATACAGGCTGAAGTCTTTCACCTTTCCAGTCAACAAGCTCTCTAAGAAAGATTGATCCCCTCTGGGGCAGGAAGTCATGTCATCAGTGACCGGCTCTGGCAGCCTTTCCCATCTCCCTATCCTTGAGAAAACCTAACAGTGGGGAGTGCTGGGCCAGCTGCAACTCCAGCTACTGCTCCTACTGCACGTGAGTCCGAACACTACGAGAGCTGGAGAGTTCCAACCCCTCGGCATTTCAGCGTTCCTTGTCCTATTTTTTGATCTTTCCTTTTTATTAACTTGGAGATGTCCCAGCTTTCCTATTATATCAGGGCATGTCTCAGTATGTGCAGCAGTGCTGATCGCCT